AGCCAGAACCGCATCTGGGAAGGGACAGTGCCTTAAATCCCTTTTATTTTTTATATATAAAAAGGTGAGGATTGTCTGAATTTAGAGCATCAGGAACATCTTGTGCTGCCTGCTCTGGTTTTGTCTGGTTTTCCTGAGGCAACCCGGAGCGGTGGATAAGGGGAGCCGGCTCACCCACGCTGTGGCACATCAGCTGCGCGCACAGCTCGGCGCGGAGGGGTTTTCTCCCCAGCGTGTGTTGGGCTGACGAGCTGAGTGCATGAGGGTGTGCTGCCTGTGGAAACCCTCTCTTGCTTCAGCTGAGCACCTTCAGCACCCATCCTGCCTCAGTCCTGTGGTGCTCCTGAGGTCTTCCAGCTAAACGCAGGCTTGGCCCAAGAGTTCTTTCTACATGTAGGAAAACCCCTCAGAAACACCCTTCTGTCTTTTTGCACCAAGGAAAAGGGAAGGAAAATGCACAAGGGGCTGATTTTGTGGGAAATCTTGGCCAGAAGCGGGCAGTTGCCCGCCCTGTGCTGTGCTAGGTCTGATGCTGATGCAGGGGCCGTTTTTCTCCTTGAGCCAGCCCAAGGACGCGGCAGCTCCCAGGCTCCCCTACCCGCCTGCAGCACCCCCTGACAGTGACAACGCTGGGCGAGACCAGGTGAGACCCCTGGGAGACCTGTCCCCGGGAGGTGACTGTAGGCAGCGTTTTGGGGTGAAACGATGATCCTGTGGTGCGATGGCACATGCGTCTGGGGCTGCTGGGTGCCGGATCGCGGGGGAAAACACGCGAGCTGGATGTCGGTGTGTGTGAGAGAGAGAACTGTCCTGCGACCGCAGCTGGCGTGTGCGAGGTTGGAGGGGGGGGGGTGTATTTTTGGGGTAGAGATGAGCAAGGAGGAGCGTGCGTGTCTGTGCCGGGGGGTGCGCAGCACACGTGTTACGGGTTGCGTGTGTGTAGGGGGGCTGCGGGTGTCAGGGGTGCGAGCGGGGAGGAGGGGGCTGCGTTGGAAAGGCCGTGAGGAAGGGTCTGCAGGGCTGTGCATGTGATGGCTGCGCGTGTG